TGAATGTTTTCCTGTGGAGTCCTGTACTTCTGACTGGTGGAGGTCCAAGATCCCCAAAGGGATAGTCAGTCTGGGAGCAGAACCCATTTCCTGCACCAGACATTCTTCAGGACCGACACTGCCCCTCTCGCCCCTCCTTGCCGGGATCCCACCCACGACCACAAGCCTACCTGAAGGAGGAAGGTGAGGCAAAGCAGCAGCAGGATCCCCAGGCAGCCCATCGTCCTCTTCCTCTGCTCTCCGTGGGGCCAACTGGCCAGCAGGTGGGTACAATCTCAGGGCAGAAGTTTCTGTTTCTGTTAGCATTTTATCAGAGGCAGATAAGGCGGGGCCAAGTGCCAGTCAGCAGTCTTCGGATTGGAGGAAGGGTCACCAAGAGAAGGCCTCTGGCACGGGGCTTTGAGCTTTTCTTGAGTGCCCTGCAGGCAGGAAGCCTCCGTCCAGGGTCAGGTGGTGGCACATGGACTTGGCGCCTCATTGTCAGTTTCTAAAACAAGCAGGGATGTAATCCTGTGAACTCATATTGTCTCCTTCGGATCCTCCGGAAGGGGCTTTTGGGAAAAGGCAACTGGAGTTTCTTGGGTTTCCTTCCCTTTCAAAACATTTCCCTTCTAATCCAAGAAGCTTCCGCAATTCAGTTCGCTTTGGGGGGGCTGTTTTTTTGTTCTTGGGAAAATGCACCTTTGGGACAACCCTGACCTGGATGAAGGAGGCTCTCCGTAGAGATAGAGGAGCCTCCCCACTCCCCCCCCTCCGCCCTTGTTCTGTGGGCAGAACAGAGAAGATCCGGCTCTGGTAGATCACCAGAGGGCTTCAAGAAAGGTTGATAAAGAGAAGCACTGCGGGGAGATGTCGCCAGAGGGCGCCCTCAGAGCATTCTGCCTGCTTCTCCTCTGCTGGACTTGAGGTTTTTAATTGAAGGAAACCCCAAAATGAGAGGTTTTTATTCCCAGGAGAGGATGGTTGGATAGCGGCCAAAGAAAGAGGGAAACTATTTATGTACCTGCTAAATTGTGGGATTGAAAGGCACAAGACCTACAAGGTGTGTGTGTGTGTGTGTGTGTAGCATGCTGGACAACTGCCTTTTAGTTGGTGGGCTTTTAAGAGCAGCTTTCCTCCTGATCCATACATGGAGTCAGCCAAGGTAAGGATGGTGGCTTCTGGCTTCTCCCTGCAGATCTCCCAGGGTCGGAGGCTGAGAGCCCGTGCAAGGGGGGCTTTCTGTTCTACTATGGGTCTCCCCCCCCCCCCGGCCCCTCTGGGCCCTGACCCTGGTCCCTTCCTTTGTTGCTAAGGCAGCAGAGGAGGGGGGCCCAGTGGCCTCACTTGTGATCCGGAAGCCAGGCTCCAAGACAGAAGTGGCAGAAGTATGTTGTTGCAGCATGTAAGACTCTCTCTGTGTGTGTGTGTGTGTAGTACACACTGTATACATACATACACCAAGTGTCTCATCAAAGGGGAGAGGACAAGTCTGGATCTGCTGGTGCCTTTGGGAAGGTGGGAGTGCCGCACCCTGGCACCCCGTTGACGGCTGCTCTCTCATCCTCTCACCTGGCTGGATAAGAGACTTGGGGCTTGCGGGATCCTGCCAGAAATCGGCTCTGAGCTTGCTAGAATTTGCCTGAGTCCAAAGGGAGCCTGCAGCTACTTTTCCATGGAAGTGAGTGATGCTTCTATTGCCTAAACTCAGGAAGCTTTTCCTTTGCTTTAGACCAGCGTTTCTCAACCTTGGCAACTTGAAGATGTCTGGATTTCAACTCCCAGAATTCCCCAGCCAGCGAATGCTGGCTGGGGGATTCTGGGAGTTGAAGTCCGGACATCTTCAAGTTGACAAGGTTGAGAAACACTGTCCTAACCACTGCTGGGGAATTCTGGGAGTTGAAGTCCGGACATCTTCAAGTTGCCAAGGTTGAGAAACACTGCTTTAGACTTAGAGATCCTGCCCTCCGCCCACCCCACCGAGCAGTGATCCCATCCGAGTGGCATTTGCACATGCAATCTTGATCCTGGTTGCTCACCAAGGGCCTGATCCCTTCTTGCTTTTAACTGAGGGCCTCTCCTTGGACACAGGCGGCAGCAGCTTTGCACAGGGAGGCCTTATGCAACCCAGGCCTCCTTCTCACCAGGAGCCCCTTCCCCAGGAGCCATAGAAGAGTCCGGCTCCAGGATCCCAGAGAGCCCTGCTTTCCGCCCACCCCAGGAAGATTTCAAGCTGCACCCAAAACAAGCCTTGCAGTTGGTCTCTGGGAAGTCCCACTCCCAAAGAAGCTGTGTGTGTGTGTGTGCCGGGCTGAGGGAGCAGCTGAAGGGGAGGCCTTGTCTGTGTCTGGGCATACACAAGGACAACACTTCCTTTGGCCAGACGGTCAATCCTTCGGGTATCCATACATATTGCAAATAACATAAAACAGTGTTTTGCATTCTCCAGGACTCTCTTTTAGCTCAGTCATTCAAAGCTTTAATATCTTTTATACTTTAAAACATCACAATGGCATTTAAAGTATCTCTGACATAATTTTAAAAATGCCAATGGTAGTTTTTAGGTGTTTAGGTCCTGCCTGCTGCTCCTTACCTAACCAGGTGCAAACAAAAGGCACCCCCCCACACATACCAGATGCTCAGGAAGAATCTCAGCACTCTCCCCCCACCCAGCCCCATTGGTCACAGAAAGTCCCACCTGGCTGCAGCTCCTCTTTCAGGGTTGGGGGAACCCACCAAGGCAGCCACTTTGACACAAGGGGCAGAGGTGGGAGCTGCCTGCTTCACTCCTGGCCAGATCCAGGCTGGTTGTGGGGAGGGGGGTGAAATGGGAAGACCTTCGGCAAGGCAAGCCAGGAGGGAGGGGGTTCTGCCCGTTGCCCTGCCACCCCCTCCCCGCCTGCCCTCCGGCTCATCAGGGCGCTGCCGAGGGTGCAGGGAGAGATCGGCTGGGGGGGGGGCGAGAGGTGGAGGGGTCCTGGGGGTGCCGAAAAGGGGAGCCCAGCCGATCGAGGGGCACAGCTGCGGGGGGAGGGGCGGAGGGTTGGCAACTCTTGCCTCCTTTCGGTGGGGGATCGGCTTTTGGGGCCGCGGGAGCCCCCTCCGTCGGGCCCGATCAAAGGAGCGGAGGGACTCTCGGAGCTTCAGCCGGGAGACCCCTCCATCTCTCTCTCTCGCACGCCGGGCAGGCCCGGCCGATCCCTGCGCCCCGGGGGAGGAAAGAGGGGCGGGGGGCGAGGGGGCGGGGCGGCCGGAGCCCCGCCCGCGAAGCCTCACCTGGCGCGGCGCCTTTAAAGGCCTGGCAGGGCAGGCGGAGCCCATTCAGCCAGCGGGCGCGCGAACGGAGTTTTGGCTGTTGCCGCCGCCGCCGGGCGTCCCTCTCCTCGACGGCAGCGATGGGCTGGCGGGGGGCTGCGCGCCTCCTCCCCCTGGCCTTCCTCGTCCTCCTCCAGGTGAGCGCCTCCCCGGGCCCTCCTCCCCGGTTCCACGCCGCCCGGCTCTTGCGGGTCTCGCCGGCGGCCGGGAGGGAGGAAGGGAGGGGGCGGCCGGCCTGAGCTCACCCATTCTCTGCCCCGCAGGTGGACCCCCGCCTAGCCGCCTGGCTGCCCCCGTGCCATTCCGGCTACGTCTTCGTCGTGCCCGACGGGCGGCTGAGTCCGGGCCAGGTCTCGAGCGAAGGTAAGCCCCAGGCGCCTCTCCTTCATCCTGGCTGCCCCTCCCGCGGGAGCCCGGCCCCTCCGGAGGCCCCTTCGTCCCGCCCTCGGCTCCTTCTCCCCAAGCGGGGGCTGCCTGGCTGGGGGCGGGAAGCCGCTGCCGCCTTCGTGGGCCAGGTACGTGCCCCGGGCGGGCGGACCTGGCTGCCCCCTCTCGGTCAGGGCCCGGCTGCGAAAGGGCAGCGGCCAGGAGTTCCTGGGGGGGCTTCTCCTTCCCTCCCCCGCCCCCACACCTTCGCCCGCTGCTCCCCCTCCCTTCGCTGGACGCCCGTGGAGCGGGAAGGCGGTCTGAGTTCAATTCCAGACCGGTTCTGAAGTGGTACCTTGGGCTCTCCCTGTGGCAGCTGCTCCTTTCCCCAAATTTTCATCAGTTTTGCGCCCAATGCTCCGCTCCGAATGGCGGGAGTGGTCGCGGGAGGTCCCGAGTCCTCGAAAGATAAAGGCCGATGAACTTGGGGTTTCTTCGAAAGAGAAGGATTTGCCTGCGGCGTCTCTTAGGATTTCTTAATCCATCGGTTGCTCGATCGCGATCCCTTCCGTGGAGAGATCTCCTTGGATCTAGGGTGGGGGATGGGCAGCTTCCTTGGGAAGGGGGAGGGGCTGGTGCAGAGGGAGGGGGGGTTCCTGCCAGGGACCCCGTCGGCTTTGCTTCTTTTGCTGGTCCCAACTTGTTTAACTCACCCCTCCCTTGAAGGGGGGTGCAGTTAAAAGCAAGAGACCTAGTTCCTGCTGCTGCAACAGTAAGCGAGCCCCCCCCCTTTTGAATTGCCCTTTGAGGGGGGCTAGGCTGAGCAAGCAGGGCCAGGCTGGGAGTTGCAGAAGGGGGGGGGGCTTTGCACCCAATGCCCCCTCAGCCCTTTTCCTCCTGGCCCAGTGGTGGGTAGCCATTGTCTGAGAGCCCCCCTCCCCCCTCCCGGAAGGGGCTGTTGTTGTGCAAAGCAGGCCCATTGTGCCCGAAACAGAGGCCGCTCTGTCTCTGCCCGGCCTCCTGTGCTTCAGCCTGGATCCTGCCAGGAATCCCTTGCCTCCCGCTGCACCAGCCCCTCCCGTCCCACAGCCCACAGCGGCCCTGATCTCCCCAAGGCCTGGAAGGAGAATGTGGGGTGGGGGGAACAAGGAGTTCTGCACCACCCAGGATTGGGATTTGGACAGCAGCCTGGGCCTCTCCCTGGGCTTGGTGGGCGGCCTCTGAAGCCCAGTGCTCAGTCTAGTGGCTCTAGTGGAGGCCCCCCCCCCCGCGTTATTCCCCCCTCCTCTGTAATTCCACTCTCCCCGGTGAGGGCCTTGCTGGAGTCTGTCTCAGGGTGGGTGGGGGCCCTCCATTGCCCACGCAGGAGGAGGAGGAGGCGGGTCTGAACCCCAGGGTCTCCCTCCCTCTTGCTCTCTGCTGCCTTAAGGAAGAAGAGGCCGCTGCAGTGGCTGGAACCCCCCCCCCCCCCTTCTGCTTTCCTGGGCAGCCCAAGCAGCTGCTTAACAGTCTGAGCTCCTGGCCGAACTGGAGGTGGAGGGCTGACCCAGAGGGAGGGGATTCCGGCTCTGGCATGGCTTTCCCTCAGCCAGGGAGTGTGGCTAACTTTAGCCCTCCCCCCTTCCTCAGCTGAGGATGAACCCTGGGGGTGGCCCTTGCAGAGAGGCTGGGGGCTCCTCCAGAGAGCCTCAGTAGAGTTTGGGGGTGACTGGAGGCCCTCAATTCATTCCCAGCTGAGCTCTGTCCCTGAGCTGCTCTGAGCTGTGGTGCATTTTTTCACTGCGACTTTTGCACCGAAAGGCCCTTGCAATGGAAGCATGTCAAGGTGTTTGTGCTCTCTGTGGGGCCAGAGGTCAGTGGGCCATTCCTGCACCCCCTCCCCAGTAAATAAGCCTGGTGTTTGCTGAGACATTTAGAGGCAGACTAATCTGCCAGCCAACCCCCCCTCCAGCTGGGTGTGTTTTCCTCACCTTTCGGGCAGCTTGACCCTGTGAGGCCTTGAGAGGCGATAAGAGCTGGAAGGGGAAGGGATGGTCTGTCAGCCCCCTCCCCACTCCTCCCTCCGGCCCCACTTAGGAAGAGAGGCAGGGAGCAGGCAGGGGGGGCACTCCATTTCCCTCCCCCTGCCTTTGATATGAGGTGTCCTTGGCCAGGAGGGGAGCAGCCTCCTGTAGCCCTTTGGGGGTGGGGGGTGGGGGGAAGAGGCAGCTCTGAATGGGCAACCAGGAGAGGGCAAAGAGTGACTGGCCGGCCAGCTTCTCCTTGCGCTGGGAGGAGCCGGCAACTGAGTGTCCACCCTCTGTGGGGCCGAGAGGGAAAGCATTGGGGGGGGGGGGTTTCTGCTCCGCTCTTGGCCAGCCTCCTGGGAGAGAGAGATTGCCACTAATGGCATGCAGAGGGTTGCCATGCTAATGGCTGCCAAATGGGTCGATTCCACTAAGTGGGGGGAGGCTCTCTGGCCGCCTCCTGCTTCATGGGCAGAGAGCCGCTTCCCTCCAGCTGGGCCACCGCCCCTCCTCCCCACTTCTGGGCACAGGGCTGCCCATCTGTGGCTGCAAAGCGGATGGGAGGGGGGGTTTCCCGTGTCCTGAGGGGGCCTTGGCTGTTCATGGCCATCGGCAGCCTGGCCAGATTGTCTCTTGGGGCAGCCTCACAACGTCCCAAGACAGGCAGACGGTGTGCTGTGGCCTCACACAAGGGGGGGGGGGCGTTGTTGCCTGGAAAGTCTCTTTCGAGTCATTCACGTGGTGGATGGGGGGGGTCTCCAAAGTCAGCTGTGCTCCCAGGACCTCGAATTGGAAGGATCCCTTTGGCTCTGGGCAGGAATTTAGGGGAATGCAGAGCCTCTGCTGGAGGCCTCCATTGGAGGGAGGCCCTGACTTCACTGGGGGGTGGGACCAGTGCAGTTCCTGCTGAGCATCTCTCTGGCTGAGGAAAGGGGGGGGGCATCGTCCTCT